TAGTCGGCTGGCCACAATGACCAGCTTCCAAAAAGTAGAGAATGGAAAAGGAGAAAAAAGCAACTTTGCAGTAGAGAAACCTGACAAGGTTGGCAAGGTTAACGTCAACATGAAGAGTCACGCTGATGGCATGTAACTTTAATATGATGTATGAGAATGGCATTACACTTCTGTGGTCTTCTTCCCCAAAACCCTTGATCTCTATCTAACCATGAAAAACACTTTGAAGAAATCCAAATTGAGGGACATTCTAAAAAAACAAAAACAAACAAAAGACAAACAAACAAAAAACCTGACTAGCACTTCTAAAACTATGGTCATCATCAAAGACAAGGAAAGTCTGAGAAACTGTCACAGATCAGAGGAAGCTAGGGAGACACATTAACTAAATGTAATGTGATATCCTAGGTGGGATCCTAGAACAAAGAAAAGGACAGTAGGAAAAAAACCGGTGAAATCTGAATAAAGCCTTTAGCTTAGTTAATAATACTTACCAATGTTTATTTCTAACTTTTGAGAAATATACCTAGTGATATGGGATGTTAACAATAAAGGGAAACTGGGTGTGGCACATACAAGAGTTCTCTGTACTATCTGTGCAACTTTTCTGGAAATCTAAAACTATCATACAATTTTCACATTAGTTTTAAATAATAGACCAGTTCATATTGTAAAGGAAAGCCCCACTATGAAGAGTAACATGGCTTCATCCATTTCAAAAACTTAACATAAAATAATACACTTTAGAAAACATGGATTTTTATATATTTTATACATTTTCTGTATGAAGTAACGAGCAGTCCAGTGTCATCTGTCTGGACAACTTTTTACAGTATAATTGCAAGTTAGTTGTACCATAAGATTTGATTGGCCTACTTAGAATTTTGCTTCTTCTAAACATTCATTAAACTTACAAACTAAATTAATGCTTGTTCTTACATGTCTTGACAGAACAAATTAACACTATCTGAACAAATTAATAACCTTGGCTCCTAACTCCTATGATTTTGGCAGGTTATACTTTCAGTTTCTAAAGCCTACACACAGGGATATCCTTAGGTAGGGATCTGCCCTCCTATCAATACACATGAGGAGTTATCCATAATGAGTGTTAGAAGGATGCCCTGGAGGAAGAGCAGACCTCATCATACCTTCTTGTCAAAGCAATAAGAAGCTGGCCCAGTGCCCTAGTACGAGACTTAGAAGGAAACATGAAACACAAATCCTCATAGCAAGGAAGCAACTCATTCACTTGACAATACTTTTCATAACACCTGAGCTAAGTATACAGAAATGACAGACCCTGAAGGGTTTCCATTCTTACTAGAAATTTCCATTCTTACTTTCCATTGCCCCAAAGGAGCAAAATAGCAATATGTTGTTAAACAGGAGGTGTAAAGATGTTAAACAGATGAAATTAATTAATCTTGAAATATGCAGTTGGGTATTCATCCAGCACATCAGAGGCATTGAGTAAGAGGAATAAATATGCATTTCATGAAGAAACACTGATCACGTGTCTCCAGTTGTTTGCCTCTTCTAGGCCCAGAGAAGTTTGCAGAAATTATTAGGACACAGTCCATACCCTTAAGGTACCTTCTGTCTGGTAACTGGGATAAAGGAAGTACACCAGTGTTACAAGCACAAAGTAAAAATTAGTATGTTCCCCCAAGAAAGTACAAAGTTCTCCTGGAGGTCAAAGAGGAAGACATTAAATCTAGTCACAGATAGGTAGGGCAGTAGACGGTATTTTGAGATAGGCTAAATTGTGGTGCAAACTAGACAGGTCTGAATGGGGGTATTACAGGCAAAGGTACAACCTCAGCAAAATCACTCAAGTTTTCCTCTTTACCTAGGGTATATGTAAGTCTTAGAAAATATGATTTTAAAAAGGAACCAAGATAGATGCTAAGTCCAGAGGGAAGACTGGGATAAGGAGAATGATATTTTCATGTGCTCTTAACACATCTCCCCTCAGACTGCTTATCAGTCACAGGGGGGAAAATACTAACTGTACTGTGAAGAAATCAGGTAACACTTTAATCAAATGATCAATACTAACATGACCAATGAGGAGGACATCATGTGACTCCAGATGCCCTATGCCAAGAAGGACATGACATTTCTGTTATAGTTTTCTAGCCAAACATCTAACTTCCTCATGAAGAAATCTGAACCTAATCATGAAGAAACATCACACAAGACCAAACTGAGGAATCTAATATAAAATAACTGGCCCATGTTCTTCAAATATGTCAATATCATAAAAGAGAAAGAAAGGTGGGGATTTCTTCCAGACTAAAGAAAGCTAAAGAGATGACATGACTAAACACAATATATGATCTTAGACTGGATTCTGAACTGGAGGGAGAAAATGCTAGAAAAGGACAATGTTGGGACAGACAATGGACAACTGAAACAGAGACTGTAGATTGTTTAAAGTTTTGTATTCATGCTAAATTTCCTGAATTTAATAACTCTACTGTAGTTACATAAGAGAATATCCATGTTTTTAGGAAAAATGCACTGAAGAATCAGGGTGTAAATGGGCATGACATATGCCATCTACTCTCAAATGACTCAGAAAAAATAGGTATATTCACATGGAAAGAGAAAAAGCAAGTAATAAAACTATGGTAAAATGTTAAAAATCAGTGACTACAAGTAAAGGGTATAGGGTTGGGAGAGTGCTCGGCACCATTCTTGCAACTTTTCTGTAGTTTGAAATTATTTCAAAATAAAAACTCTTTTAAAGACCCTAAAAAGCATTAAAATCAAAATTATTTTCATGAGTAAAATTTCATAGCCAATTTCTTTTAAGGTATTCATTTTTTAACATAGATATAATTTAATAGTTACATAGAAATTGAAACTTTAGGATCTTCTTTTTCATTTAATATTGTCTTATTTAAACATTGCTATATGTCAACTTAGTCAAATATCAATCATTTTTATGAACTATACGTAGTTCATTCCTCTATTGAACATTCGTGTCATTTCCAATTTTCACAATTACAGTGTCACTGCTAAGAACATAGATAAAAAAATTACTTCATTTCCTTTGGGAATATTTCCTGTGGATTTTAGAATAATTCTGTAGAACAAGATCTAAAAAGAAGACTGTACCATTTTAGATGTCAAACTTATATGGGATCCACTGATACTAGAGGAGATTTCCCATACTTTTGAACATGGAATCAGTTTTGAAAATTGCTCATCAACACATTGGTACCACTGCCAGACAATAGCTGTCTCTCTCTCTCTCTCTCTCTCTCTCACGCATGCACGTGCACACACACACACACACACACACACCATTCACCAAGACTGAAGAGCAAACAGAGAAAGAGAAGGATGCACAAGGAGCCAAAATAACAGATTATCACTGGTTGATTCACTACCAACTCATCTGGAAAGCTTTTCTAGCTAACACAAAGCACAGCAGACCAAACTTGCCCATGCTCAGATGCACTGGGTTTAGTCAGTATGTCTTATTCTTATAGAACTTCCAGTATTTTGAGATAGAAACTGTTGAGTAACAGGAAAAAAAAAATTAAGACATGTACTTTGACTATAAATGTCTGGGGAGCTTGAGCATGATACAACTGAAGAAAAACTTTGTATGGAATGATAATTATCTCAGGCTGAAGAACAAATTGAGCTAACGATTGTAAACAAGAATCACCCATTAGCAATTTCAGCCATTAGGGACTGGTTCGTAAAGGATAAGAAAAAGAGCATGGGACTTTGTGAAAACCCTTTCTTGTCTTTAAGGAAGTATGCACACACATACACATTAAAATATATGTTTGCGGAGAAGTGTAAAATGTGTGAATACACACGAAATGTAAGCACTTGAATTCTTACGAATACACACTAATGAACAAAGGTAGTTTTCAAAGCATTGCCTAGCATAAGGGAATGTTTAGGGTGATGGAAATGATCTATATCACAGGATCTAAATGATCTACATGACTTTGAAACTGGTTACATGTGTACATGCATTTGATGAAAGTCTCAAACTATTCACTTAAGATCTGTAAATTACTCCATGTAAGATATGTCTCAAAAATGCAAAAGAAAGCACACAAAATCAGCAGATCTTCTCTGTCACTAGTTCTGTGTGCTTCAGCAAGTCATAGCTTTCACCTTCCTCATCTGAAAGACAAGGGGCTTGTGTTAAACAGTCTCCTTAACACAATCCCTAAGTTCTTTACTAGTTTTAGGATCTAACTGATACTTTTTTTTAAATAGCAATGAATTTATGGAAATTAATAATCTGACTTAGAACTTTGAGATTTTAACTTAAAAGTTTCAATTACATTGATATATACATTATCATCGTAAGTAGAAGTTCAAATAATACAGATAAGATAACTGTTCTCTCTGGCCCTTTTCTCATAATCCTAGAGGGGACCTGTCCTGCCAGGTTGCAGTATATTCTTCTAGGCTTTTATTGTTGCTGCTTCACAGGCAGTATGGCTCTGTGGCTAAGCATAAAGACTACGGAGTAATGCTGCCCAGGTCCACAGCCCAGCAGCACCATTAGCCAGTGTAGACCTTCCTGACATCACCCAAAATACCTGTGCTTCAGTTTTCTCATCTAAAAATAGTGACAAAATGGCAACCATTCATGAGGTTGCTGAGAGAACAAGGTATGACACACATACAACACTTAGAGCCTGGCACCCAGAAGTATCACTTATTACTGAGAAACTGTTCACTCTTTCATAGTAAAATATCTACACTTGCTTCTTTTAATACAGTTGAAGAATAAGTTAAACACTTATTCTAATTCAAAGTCACTTAAAGCACTATATTAAATACAAAGGCACTTAGAGAAATAGGTCTCTTGGAGTATTTAATCACTGGTCTTGAGCCAAAAAATTTCTTCAGTTATCATTCAGTAAAACTTGTAGATGGAAATCAGGTCCATCCAATTCTGTTACCAACATTTCAGATTTTTATTTAATATGAAAAGTATTAATGTGTAAGAATGTGTGCTTGCTTCAGCAGCATGTATACTAAAACTGGAACAACACACAGAAGATCAGCATGGCCTCTGTGCAAGGATGACATGCAAATTCATGAAGCATTCCATATATTTCTTATGGTTACCAGGAGGAAAGGGAGTGGGAAGAGATAAACTGGAAGTTAAGAGATTTTCAAATATTAACTACTAAACATAAAATAGATAAATAACAAGTTTCTACTATATAGCACAGGGATGTATATTCAATATTTTGTAGTAACCTACAATGAAAACGAATAATGAAAATAAATATATGTATATGTATGACTAAAACATTATGCTGTACACCAGAAATGGACACATTGTAAACTGACTATATTTCAATTAAAAAAAAAAAGTTAAATGGGTAAGAGCGGGGTGAAAATGAAATTCAATAGAGCCATGTCCAGTCTTGTCTCTGTAGGCCTGTCCCATCACTGAAAATCACCAAGAAGTCACAATACCTAAGGATCCAAGGACAGCAGGAAGCATAAAATGTCACAACACATAGCTGATAAATGACTAAGTTTTGTATCCAGGCTTGTGGGAGGAGTACAGCATACTTTCTCTATTATTCACTCTGCGTTTACTCTGTCAAATGTTTTGACTTCCCAATGCAGAATCTTTTAATGAAGAAAAAAAGCCTGCCTCATTGGATTTGAATTTATTATTTCAGTGACACAGAAAGACATGGAGATTAAACTTTCAACTGGCATAAGGGAGAATAAATTACCACATTTTCTTCCGATCAATTTTTCACCTTTACACACAGTGATAAGAGCCTCTGCCAAAGGTCCTTCATTCTACCCGCGTGAAAGGGCTCTGACACCTGTTTAATCCACAAGTCAACAGTCTTAAGTATTGAAAATGTGAGGAGCCTAACTGTGGATTTGCATAGTTCCTGGCTCTGTGGATCTGTCTGCTCCCATGACAACCCCCCCCGCAGAGAGTGCACCCATGTGGCACCCTGCTGGAGATGAGAGACCAAGAGGGTGGGAAGAAAGGCCTGGACTTGCCCTTTAACCAGATTCAAGCATGTTACCTTGGCCTTCTTGACTGAATACCATATCAACACATTTCCAAGAACATCAGCTGACCTCGGGGAGCAGAGTGAACTATGGCCCTGTGGTGTGATTTAAAGATCCCTCACTCTCCTTTGAAACTGCCTGACAACCTGTATTCAAGACTTAGTCCTTTAGTTTAACAAGTATTGTCTTAAAATATCAGTGTCCTTGGGACAGTCTGTTAATGCAATAAGTCATCACTCATTCCCACTATGTTATATGTTCACCTCATCCATTCCTTTGACTCAGGATAAGAACTTAAAAGGGAAGGAAAGACAGTTTTGGAGCATGCGGCACTGCCGTGGAAGGAAGGAGAAAGAGCAGAGAAAGTGGGCAGCTGGAGGACAGCAGGAGGGCCCTGATGCCCCAGGGCAAGGAGAGGCACCCAGGAAGTGAGTTTAAACTCAAAAAGCCCCAGTATTTCCCAATTTGGGGACCAGCCTTCTTCAGGGAATACTACTCTAGCTCTGGGCTATGGCCTAGAGTTGCATAAACTCTGCTTATCTTTCAAATTAATGGCAGTGAGATTAATGAGGGAGCAAGTTTTCAGTGTATAAACTAGATTTTAAATAACCCAGTAACCACATGAAGAAAGCATAAGGAAAATTTCTAAATGTACATAATTATAATTTCAGTGAGGAATGACATTCTGAAGTTGCATGTGACACACAGAAAATAACCCCTCTTCTTTCTCCCTCTTCACTGAGGCAAGGTGAAGGCTGTGGCAGTCTTCTGTATGATGACCCTGGGAGGGGAAGACAGTCATCCCACACTGGCCTGATCTCTTGTGCTACATTTCACAAGCCACAGTCACAGCCATATTTGGAGTATAGTAAGGACAAGACCTACCCAGCTGTTGTTCTCCTGAGGATGGATTTGCCGACCATCTCTCCCCAAATATGGGCTAAGCAAACCAGCAGCTATGAATTTGCTTCAAATAAACTACTGTTTCCCAAATCTGCCTGGATTGTAAAAATTATCCAGAGTACATATTTAAACTAAGCAGTCCCTCCAAATTCTGATTCAATAGATCTGGTAAGAGCCATGAAAACTGTGTTTTTCACCAGCACTTCAGATGATTTTTACAATCAGACAAGTTTTATACATACTAAGATAAGAAATCTGCAACTTCAGAAAGAAAACTAGAAAGAGGGAGAGGCCAGTGTTTCTCCACTGAGCTTGGAGTACATGTGGCTGTGCCTTTTGGAGGATGAAGCAGATTATTACTTCAGGCCCTATTCATTGCCTATCCTGAGCTGAGAACTTTTCATGGTGTCAATAGCACAAAGGGATCCAAGATAACGAAGGAATTCAACTCTTAGGTGTAAAGGCCTATTAGTACCCACAAACTCTCTACATCCAATGAAACATACAATGAAAACTGAGTCATACAGCTATTCTTCCATGTACTGGTGGTAAAGTCACAGTCCCATCATAACCACTCCAAAAAAAAGAGGATCTCAATAGCATAATGGTACAGCCAGAGTTCTGAGATAATAGACTAAAGCAGCGAGTTAAAATGTGGGTGGGTACTACCGAGAGCTAGTTTGAGGTACAACCCCCAGATGGAATACAACTTTTCACAAGAATTCCTCTACCACAGAAATGCAATAGGAACCCCAACTGGCAGCTTCAGAAACACATGGCCTAAGCCTAGAAGAGAACACAGGAAGATAAAAACAGTAATTATATGGAGTGGCCGAATTGTAAGTGAAGGTTTTCTATTTATTTTCTTTATTGTTATTTTAATGCAAATGTGATAAATAAGAAATTAACAATTGTTGATGTATTACTTGCTATTAAGTATTTCTTAATCACTATTAATAAACAATTATTTTGTCAAAAAATAAATTTAAATATTCCTTAATGACAAGTCAATTTACTAATTGCTTCTATTAATGAAGCTATTATATTCCATCAACATATTTCTTTGTCATTAACTTCATTTTCAGACATAGAAATAATATGAGGCATTGAGAGTCATATCCCAATTTCAAAGCATTTTATACAGTATGAAAACAGAATTAAATGTTTATTAAACTAGTACTAAACATTCTGAAAACCATAAAATATGCAACAGAAGTCTCTGAGACAGAGGGAGGGGAGAGAGTAAAGATGCAAGAGAGTTCATAGTAGCACTACTTACAACAGCCAAGACATGGAAACAACCTAAATGTCCACCTTCAGATGACTGGATAAAGAAGATGTGGGATATTTATACAATGGAATACCACTCAGCCGTAAAAAAGAATAAAATAATGCCATTTGTAGCAAAATGGATGGACCTGGAGATTGTCATTCTAAGTGAAGTAAGCCAAAAAAGAAAGAAAAATACCATATGATATCTCTTATATGTGGAATCTTAAAAAAAAAGACAAACTTATTTACAAAACAGAAACAGACTCACAGACATAGAAAACAAACTTATGGTTACCAGATGGGGAAGGGAGTGGGAAAGGATAAACTAGGAGTTCAAGATTTGCAGATACTAATATATATATATAAAATAGATAAACAAGTTCATACTACATAGCACAGGGAACTATGTTCAATATCTTGCAATAATTTATAGTGAAAAAGAATATGAAAATAAATATATGTATGTTCATGTATGACTGAAGCATTGTGCTGTACCCTAGAAATTGACACAACATTGTAAACTGACTATACTTCAATTAAAAAAATTTTTTAAAAGATGCGAGAGGAGTGAGCAGGACCTGCTGCATGGGAATTTACTGGTACTGGTGGCCAGGGTCTTTGCTGCCATCTTCACTGCCTCAGGCTGGGGGGCTGGTCTTGCAGAAAGTGTACTGTGGTTAGTTCCAGCCACCTTCTCCCAAGGACAGCAGGGCTCTCTGGCAGAAACGTACAGTTGGAACCATGCCATCTGGGCTCATGATCTTTTTATGTTTCGACAGAGAGGGAAGGAGAGAGTGTCTAAAGGTGGGGCAGGGAGAATGATCACAAAGAGGATCCTAGGCTCCCGAAAAGACAGTCTGACAACTGATATCAGAGGGAAGGGTAGAGACCAGCCCTGAGTCAGTGGAGAGAATCATGGCCAAGAGAGGGAAATGGCAGAGAAAGGAAAAGATACAGACCCCAAAGAGAAACTGTGAGGAGTTGCAGCCTTGCTGCTCTGCAGCTGTGTGAGACAGACAGACAGACAGACAGATGGTGCTGCCTGAGGATCCTCAATGAGACTGTTTTCAGGCAGGCTTGGCTGAGCTCGTGCTACCCTGTCTGGCATGTCTCATGAGGATTTTCTTGTTTGACCACTGCTGACTACAAAGGGTCTTTTCTTCTAGAGCATTTGTTAATGGAGCTATAACTGTGCAAAGAAAGATAGGTCTCAAGTCCAGGCCAATGGGCAAAACTGAACTTACACATCTCCCTCAAAGTTTAAAAAAAAATTTTTGAGATTTGTACTAAAATCCAAGATAGCTTTTTTTAACTTAACTCTCCAAGGGATGTCAGGGATCCTACATGACAACTTTTCTGAATAATATTTTCAATAAAAAGAATTAAGTTGGAATCAATTAGAACTTTCTCTCTTTATACTTTGGTTTGAGGTTTGATGTTCTCCTTATTTTGAGGATAATTATAGGGTTTTAACTTTACATCTAATAAAAAGAAAAGAACAAAATCTATTTTAATTCTGAAATATACTGTTTCTCAAGAGTTAGTCAGATTTCATCAAGCCCTCATCCAGAATACATCATTCAGTCTTAAATGAGAGCCTCTTGACATCTAGGGGTAAGACTGTCCCTGATGTCACAACACCTTAGCCCAAATATCATCTCACCTGGCTGTAATTCCTTAACGTGGCCTTAGTACTGTAAGCAGCAATTTGAGAAACAGGAGCACTGCAGAAGAATTTTAGAAACTAGAAAATCTTGATAAGTGGTTAATATTTGAGGAGATAAACAGAATCTACACACTTTCACGTTGTTATAAAACATTATCAAACAACAGCTCTCATGTTCTGAACGCTTATGTTGTGCCAGGTCTATCTCTAAGTATTCTAAGTGCTCT